CTTGGCTGGACCACAATTCTGAGTGGTTTAAGCAGTTGTGATGTGGGTTATTCCCATGATGAGATTGGATGTATATGTTTTGAGCAGCCAATCCATTGAGAAGGAGTTTCCCTAGGGGTATAGCCTGCTTCCAATATATTTATGGACACCCTGGGAAAAAAGACATTCCTCTGTGGATTGGGATCCTGTTGTGCTGCCTACAACTGTCTGTGAGTGAACAATCCACCATTCAGCCTGGAGATCCTGGATTCATCATTCATTGGAGTCAACAGCCGATACAGCCTGCCAACCTTGAGCTCCTCAGCCCCTGCCAACTGTGTCAGTCAGAAAAAGCCTCCAGCTTGACATTTGATGCAAGAACTTGGGACTTGCCAGCTTCTATAAGTGTGTGAATCATTTTCCTAAGATAAATTTCTCTTTCTCTCTCTCTATGTAAGCTTTGCTAGTTTTGCTTCTCTAGAGAACCCAGCCTAACACAATTGGGTTTGCTTTATTCATTATTTCTGTGAAGAGCAGTGAGGCAATGACATAGTGTCAGACGCCAAGTAAGCACGAGAATATGGTGGAGAAAAAGCAAAGTTATAAGGCAGGGAGTTGGGATTGATAAGGAGATCACAAGAGTTATGACTCCCAACTACCTCTTTGGGTTTGGAGTTAAGTCAGAAACTTGACCACCTGTTCCTGTGGAAACTCTCGATAAAGGAATGAAGCTCCCACTGCAGCCCTGCACCCTCCCTGTTTTATTTCCTAGCTCCACACCAACACTCGAAATGCTTTCATAGAAAAGGTAGCTGGTGCCCACACATCCTTTCCATACTTGCCCACTTGTGAGACCTGACTAGAGAAACAAAGACCCCATTTCTATTTTGCCCAAATATGATGGTTCTTCTGTGGTCTGAGCACATAGCAAACTGAAGAAAGAATTACAAGCTAGTGGCCCTTGGGGAATCCATGCTATTGAAATGAATTAATAAATACATACTTTAGGTAATGAATACACATCAAGATTTCCTTCCTAGGATTTTAAACTCTATTAGGATCCACAAACAAACAAGTAAACAAACTCACCAGGTCTGAAACTGCATTCGGTTCCACTCAAATTTGTGATCGGAATCTCTTAAAGTCGCTGCCGGAAACAGGGGATTGAATTCAGAATTTGGTGTGCTGATGACGATCATGGCTGGAGACAAGAACCCAAATACTACTTTGGGAAATTTGGCCAGATCTTCGGAATCCAAATGCTCTATTCTAAAATAGTTAATGGAAGATATAATAAAATCTAGCTTCTTTTTCGAGTATTTCCCACATTGATATACCAAAATAATCTCTCCCTCTATACTTACTTCTCCCTTTGAATTCTTAATAGTGCTTAAATGACCTAAAAACTATCATTCATACATTTTCATCCCCTCTCCCAGCCCTGCTCATGGTACTCTCTTATCCAACCAACGTCCCTTGCTGTACCCTTTGGGCCTCACTATCAACGCCTCTGAAAAAGGGTATCTGAGCACGTACCTCCCTGATATGCTGCAGTGAAAAGGGCACAACATTGTTTTATGGTATTCTTTTCAAAAATGTATGCCCTGAATCTCATAAGGGGAAAAGAGGCAAACCCAGATGGAGGGAGAGCCTATAAAATAATTATTCTTCAAAATAAGTATTTTTGAAAAACATCACAATAAGGCAATGAAAGACTGAGCAGACCTGTCCCAGATTAAAGAACAAAGAGACATGACAATCAAATTCAAATGACTGAATCCAGGCAAATAATTTTAAAATAGCTATAAAAGGATATTACTGAAACAACTGATGAATTTTGAATATAGAGTGAGAATTAAATATTAGTATTATGTCACTGTTAACTTTCCTGATATGATTATATTGTAGTTATGTAAGAAATGATTCTTGTGCTCTTAGAAAGTATATACTCAAGAATTTAAAGGTCAAGAGACATGATTCTCCAACTTACATGCAAAAATTACATGTACTGAATTGGAGGACTAACATTACTCAACTTCTAGACTTACTATAAAGCTACAGTGATCATGCCAGTGAGGTACTGGCAAACGAAGAAACAGATCAGTGGGACAGAACAGAGAGCCCAGAAATACATATATATAATTAACTGATTTCTGACAAAGGAGTAGAAGGATTTAATGGAAAACAGACAGTCTTTTCAACAAATGGTACTGGAACAACTGAACATCTACATGCAAAAAAAAAAGAATCTAGACACAGAACTAACATCTTTCACAAAATATAAAAAAAAAGTTACTCAAAATGGATCACAAACCTAAGTGTAACACACAAAGGATATAACTTCTAAAAGACAACACAGGAGAAAATCTAGGTGACCTTGGACTTAGTGATAACTTTTAAGATCTATTAAAAACATAATCCATAGTTACCTGCTGGAACTGGTCTGTAAAACATTCTGGGACAGCACTGTTGCCATTAAGTACCTTGTTTCACAACAGTATATGAATAGACTTTTTTCCTATCATTTCTCATAAGCCACTAAAGTTTGCTTATATACTCTAAAATTACTGTGTAAACCAGTAGTAACTTGATGTGTGGCATTCCATATAGTTTCCATTATCATGTACCTTTAAAAATGGGAAGCAGTTAAAAAATTGTAAGATTTAAGGCAGGACTCTGAATATACATCAACACACACACACAATCAATAAGGAAAAGAAATTATCAGTTGGACTTCATTAAAGTTACAAACTTCTGCTCTGCACAGACACTGCTAAGAGAAGGAAAAGATAAGGAACAGACTGGGAGAAAATACTTACAAAATACATATCTGATAAAGGACTTATAATCCAAGATATACAACGAACTTTTAAAACTTAACGAGAACAAACCCATTACAAAATAGGCAAAACATCTCAACAGTCACCTTACCAAAGAAGATATAAAGATGGCAACTAAGCATATGAAAAATGCTGGATAATCAAAGCAAGATACCACTATACAACTATTTAAAAAAAAAAAACTCACTGCCATCAAGTCAGATCCAACTCATAGTCACCCCTCCTTGGGTTTCCAAGGCGGTATCACTATAGAAGTAGATTGCCCAATCATCCTTCCGAGGAGTGGCTGGTGGATTTGAACCACCAGCCTTCTGGTAAGCAATCAAATGCCTTAAGCACTATGCCACATAAGAATGGGTAAAATCCAAAACACTGACAACACCAAATGCTGATGTATGTGTGGAGCTGCAGGAACACTCATTCACCGCTGTGAGAATGCAAAATGCAACAGTCATTTTAGAAGACAGTCTGGCTGGAAGAGTGAGTGGACACTCTCATTTACTCCCCTAGCAACTAACCCATGGAACAATGAATAAAAACAAGAATAAACTGAGATCTCAGAACTCCAGATGGCAGCTGAGGTACTGGAAAGTCAGGGTGAGTCCAGAAATGTGGAAGAGGAGGAACAGGGATAGCACAGAAACTGGAAGAACCCACCCACTAACATCTGGAGCATGCACTCATTGAGCCATTTTGGGATGGGGACTGGGCAACACCTCATGCAAGGAATACAGAAAGGGAGCTAATCTGAGCAAGAAGTAGCCCAAATTTTTAAGGTGGCACAGACTGGTGTAGGAGTTTATAGGCCACACAATTGGGAAGGGGTGAAGGGGGGACTATAGTGCTGTGAGAAAGTGCTGTGGAATTTCACTGAGGCCTGAGCTGCATGGGCACCAAGACCAGGAGGAACTGAAATGGCAGCAGAGCAATAGGAATACTTTGGATGGATGAGCAACACAGAGGGAAATGGCTAGGTCCCTGATCATAATGGGACATCGTAGGAGAATCTGTGTGAGGGCATCCACGAAGGAAAGACTTAAGAGTCGCCATCCTTTGCCATGGGGAAATCAAGCACCACCACTTATGTCAGTATCTACAACTGCTACCACCCCTGCCCATGCACATGAATATTAAATTCCAGAGACTAAGCATACAGAACTACTGAAATCAGCACTGAAAAAAAAAATAAAAATGAGGATAAGATTGCCCTCTCATGGTTCTCAGAAGTTACCAGAGACCATTGCCACTGGCTCAATTTTGACTCATAAAGACCCTATGGGGCAGAGTGGAGCTGCCCTATGGGGTTTCCAGGGCTGTGAATCTTTGCAGAGGAAGACTGTCACATTTTTCTCATGTGGAGTGGCTGGTGGGTACAGGCCCAAAACTTTCAGTTGGCAGCTGGGCACTTTGCCACTATGTCCCAGAGAGCCCAATCAGAAAAATTTCCCACAGAAACCAGAATATAAAATGCAAAGTTAAAAGTTAAAAAGGGATAACAAAACAGCCCATGTTCAACAAAAAACAGTCAAACACATAAAATCGCAAGAGAAGGAGGACCGAACAAAAGCAAAATATGAAGAGAAAAATTCTCATATGGAGGCCAGAATAATGGAACAAATTGAAAATTTTCAGACTATGGCACTAAGTGTGTTCAAAGAAAGCAAAAAGCACACAGAAAACAAACGGGCAGAGATCAGGAAACAAATAGAGGAACAAAATAAGAGATTCAACAAGGAAATGGGGGGGGGTAAACCTCAAAGAATTACTGGAAGTAAATAAAGCAACTAAATTAAAAAAAATAAAATAAAGAGAAAAATTCAACAAGAGAGTCAAACAGACAGAAGACAGAATAAATGAACTAGAAGACAAAATAACTAAACTCATCAAGTCACAAGAGAAAAGAACAAAGAAAAGCAAACAAATACAAATGGATTCACTTAAGAAATATAACATTAGAATTATTGGAGCTCTGGTGGTGTAGTGCCTGAGGCATCTGACTGCTAACCAGAAGGCTGGCAGTTCAAACCCACCAGGTTCCACCATCAACACCAATGGAAGCAGCAGTCAAGAAATCAGATGACGTGTTGCACTAGGCAAATCTGCTGCGAAAGACCACTGGGAGCTCTGGTAGCACAGTGCCTAAGGCACTTGACTGCTAACCCACCAGCCACTCCTCGGAACGAAGGCTGGGCAATCTACTTCCATAGTGGTATCACCTCGGAAACCCAAGAAGGGGTCACTATGAGTTGGGTCCAACTCGACGGCACATAACAACAACAACAGAGGACCATGACAATAATAAAAACATGGAAACAATTTTCCAAGAGATAATCAGAATTCCCTAGATCTGAACAGGGAACTAAAACTGCAAATACAGGAAGGTACACAAACCCAAATTAGAAGAAACACATACACACACAAAATCAACTCCACACTATATCCTAATAAAATTCTTGAAAACAAGAATTCTTGAAAACGAAGAGAGAATTCTGAAAGCAACAAGAGAAAAACGCAACTTAATAATCCAAGGCTCTTTCATAACAATCAATGCAGATTTCTGCCCAGAAACTCTAGTGGCCAGATGACAATGGAGCAACATAAATAAAATTTTGAATGAAATAATATCCAACCAAGAATTCATTACCCAGCAAAGCTGTCATTCAAAAACAAGGGGGAAATCAAGATATTCTGAACAAATAGTAGCTCTGGTAATCTGCCACAAACAGACCAGGTTTCCAAGTATTATTCAAGGTAATACTCCAAATAGAAAGGCAAGAGCATTAAATAAATACTTGTATCTATACATGGGATAAATAAACAAACAATACAAAAGAAAGAGATCTCCGAAAAATGTAATAACATGGGCACTCATTAAGAACCAAATAGATGATGCTTTTAGGGAATAAAGTCAATAATTAAATCTCATAGACAATGCAACATCAAGTTTGTAACAAATAAGTACAAAGGAAACTTACTGAATATAGGCTGTATATTGATGTTTACAGAAAACACACCAACAAAAATGGGCAAAGGACAATCCTATTAGGAATAGATTTATCATGTTAAGGGTATATGTTAACAGGTGTTCGTACGCTAAACATTGCTGCAGTTTAAAGTTATGTCATGTAACGTATGTGGTATCACTAATAAATCACTGAAAAAAAAACTCAGAAGAAAAGTCAAATGAAAGCAAAAACACTTGTCATAAGAAAACAGCCAAATACAAACATGAAAAAATTAGAATATATTAAAAAAAAAAAAAAACAAGATGTAAAACACTCAAAAAACAAATAGCAAAATGGGTGAGGCAGACACTTCATTTTCAGTAATAACCTTAAACGTAACTAGTCTACTTGCGTGTGATATGAACGATATAGTTCAATCATGCCCACATTCTGTTGGATCACTTTTCTTTGGAATGGGCACAAA